GCAGACATTTCTCCCCCTTCGCAGACATTTCTCCACTCTTGCATTCAGAAGGCAGAGTAGCAAGGGCATGTGACAGGACAGGGTTTTCCAGAATCATTTTTCTTGTTTTTGGCGCCCTGTGGCTTAGACTAGCCCTGTTTGTGGGCATCACAGGATTGAGGTTTCACAGCGACAGATCCTGACATCAGTCAACAAGAGAGAAAGAGCACAAGCTTGTTTGTGCTGGTCAACTAAGGGCCAGTAGCCACCCTCATACCCCCAGGGGTCTTTTTCTGAATCCTGCCAGAAAGGGAACATTTACCACAGGATGAGAACAGAGCAGAGAGTGGAAACTCTGATTTAGAAAATGGCACGGTAGGGTGCTTCTAACAGACTAAGGCAGGACTAGGACAAAGTGAGTAACAGCTGGCCTTTGAGAAGGAACCTGAACTGCCTTCACTCCTGGGGACCTGTCTCAGCCCCTGGGAGCATCTAATCAGGTTAAACCCCAAGGGGGCAATGAGAGCAAACACTGATGGAAAGAGCACTGACTGTGTGCCACACGCTTTTTTGAACGCTTTATATATATTAATCCATCTAATCTTCAAAGTGGGAGTTCTGGTTAGCATAGTGCCTAAGGCACTTGACTGCTAACCAGAAGGCTGGAGGTTCAAACCCACTAGCCACTCCTCCGAAGGAGGGTTGGGGCATCTTCTTTTGTTAGTGATACTGCCTCAGAAACCCAAGGAGGGGTCACTATGAGTCGGGTCTGACTCGATGGCACACAACAACAAAATCTTCAAAATAGGAGTTCTGGTGGCGTAGTGCCTAAGGCATTTGACTGCTAACCAGAAGGCTGGCAGTTCAAACCCACCAGCCACTCCTCAGAAGGAAGGTTGGGCAACGTACTTCTGTAGTGATACTGCCTCGAAAACCCAAGGATGGGTTGCTATGGGTCGGATCTGAGTCCACGGCAGAGTTCGGTTTGGTAATCCTCAGACTAGCCTATGCCGTTGGTATTATTATCTCCATTTAAAAAATGAGCAGAGGGAGGCACAGAGGTTGAGCCCAGGGTCACATAGCAAGCAAGTGGCAGAGCTGGCACTGGAGAGCACAATCCCTGCTCCTTCCTACACATGCACACATGCATACGCCAGTTCACAGTTACACCTGGAGTTCCTCCTCTGCGCAGGTTCAAGTGATCCAGCTAATCAGCACTCTTTCTGGTCAACTGAGAAGAGGGAGCTTGAGTGTGTGGGATTGCCCTTCTTGGTTTGGCTACACTGAAAAGCTAAATCGCTGAGTGCTCTCACCCCTCAAACACTCTCCACACAATAGATCAAGGCAGCCACACACCAGAATGGGAATCCAAATTGTCAGTAAGCCTCTTTTGATCTGTGCAAACTCTGTGCTTTGCCCAATGCAGTGTAGTAAATTACTTAGTGTGGCTTTTCTACCCATAAGTCTTTGTAAACTCCAAGGTGGGATTTTCTATGAGCAACTGAGGAGCTATCCACCTGGGTTATTTCTGTTGGGTGTGGCACAATACAATGTTCTGGGAGGTTCCCACTCTCTCTCACGAGCTTAGAGTTCTGATGCTGTGATTGGCTAGTTTGACCACCCTTCCGGGCTCAAAAGGAGGCCTCCTGGAGGCAGAACTCTCTCTGACTGCTGGTTGAGGAAGACGTGCTGCCGAAAGAGACACGTGCCCCTGAAAGAGACAGGCGTTGCTGGGAGAGAGACTGAGCATTTTTCTTGACCTTGAGTTGTAGCCTGGTGCTTCCCTAATAAACCCCATAATCTGTGAGTTCTGTGTGGCCACTGCAGTGAATTATCGAACCCAGGAGAGAGGTGGTGGGTGCCTTGGGAGGAACGGTTGGTGAAAGGGCTGGAGGGAGGCAGCATGTCTGGCCTTGCAGTAATAGGCCTTGGGTTACTGCTGGTAATCCTGCCTTCCCCTTGTAGGGTTAGAGGAGGTCAGAACATGTGGCCTTCTTGCCGTTTTTGCACCCAGAATTGAAAGCCGGTTTCCATCTTATATGGGAAATGTCCAGGTCAGAACTGGACTTTCTTCAGAGGCCCCAGGGCCTGGAAAGAAAGGGTTCAGGTGTGAGCTTGCAGGATAATCCTATTCTAAAAGACTTCTAGATTCCCTAATTGTGCCGAAATGTGGTGTCATTTCTAACAGGATTATGAAAAAGGCTGGGTGTGGTGGTGACAGACAGTAGAGGCAGAATCCCTGTCTTATTTAGGGACTTTCCCAGAAATATATGGACTGGGGCATTCTTCCCTGTTGCCCCAGCTTGGCTCTTGGTTTACAGTAGATGCTGTTAAGGCCATTTGACCTGAGTTGTTCTGGCAAGACTTAACTTCATGGAGCTATGTGGCAAAACTACACCCATTTTGCAAGAGCCCTGTTGTTGACTACAAAGGAGCCCGTGAGTAACACGTGTGATGCCTGGCAGCAGCTCTAGCCACTTAACTGTGCCCACTGCTTTAGGGGCTCACGCGGGCTGAAAGATGCAAGGGAGAAAATTCAATTCAGTCACCCCAGGCCACCCCTAGAAGAGCAATCACTCCTTCAGTAAATACCACTTCATAAAACAAGAAAGGATAAAGGAACACGCAGATCCCAGTAGTATTCATATTTGAGGACTGTGCTATATTTTAAGGCAAAACAGAGATGAACAGTGTTTGAACAACACTTACGACACCATGTTAGAAAGAGGATAGCAGAAGGGACATGTTCAGACACAGTGAGAAAGTGGGATCTTCCCAGTCTGGTGATTCCTGGTCTACTGACTCCTCTTGTGGATGGATCCTGGAAAATGGACAGAAATGGCACTTCTCCCTCCTCTTCTTGCCTCCAAGAGGAAGGGGACTGATTATCTGAATTTTATACAGAAGCACCTCCTCTAGACTTCAGCACTCTACTTCCCATATTTCCAGTTCTAGCATGTAGCTCATTCAGTCACAGGGGCATTTTCCAGCTCTAACTCATTCCCATTGAGAAATTCATCCCCCAATATGGAAAAATCAGGGAGCCAAAGCCAAACTCTATCCAAACGCAAACTTGCTTGTATTGGCACTAACTACATGTATATGGAAGAAGGAAGAGGACTTACTGAAGCCTGAAAAATAGTGAAAGTTCATTTGCAGTTTTAAAATCAAATCAAATTTGATTGTTTCCCCTTTAAAAACAGAAGGATGTTAGGAACAGGCTGTCACCACAGGGCAAAAGTTTCCAGGCACCTGTCTGCTCAATTCCTGCTCCCTCCTGGCATAACAAGAGACTGGAGTGGCTTAGCTGCTTTAAAGAGGGCTAGGCTTCCCACGGGCAGGGTCAGCTCTGTACCCAGCTGGCTCCTCCTCACTCCCTCTGCTCAGGGGCAGGCCCCCAATTTTAAAATGAGGAGAGCTCAAAGATCTCTGCCCCAGCTGCCTATTTCATTGCAAAGGTACATGCTCCTTCCGTAGAGCCTGGGTGACTTGCAGCAACAGAGAAGATGGGATGAATGAGGCTGAAATCTGGGGATTTGAATGGCCTATTGCAGGGTGGCAGGAACAGTGCCTGGGGGCTAGAAGTGATGGAAGTCAGATACCCAGAAATGCAGCAGAAGGTACGGTAATCAACTCATTAAACCTGGAAGAACACCGGGAGGGGCTGCATTTGATGTTATAAAACAATTACATAAAAGAACAAGTGGCATGATAAAAGTCTGGCAATGGACACAGAGAACAAAGTCCTGCTCATAAAAGCTGTCTGCCCCACAAGCATGAGGCCTCCATGGAGAAAGGTATCACTTGGGTAGAAACAGTAAGAGCATAAGGAGTCAGAACTTGATATACAGGAAGCAAAATGGTCATTTTCACAGATTCACTCAGTTTGCCCCACCAAATCCTTCTGAGGTAGGTAAGAGGCAGGTGACATTAGCCCCATTTTACAAATGGAGTAAAGTGAGGCCCCAGGACTTGCTGCAGGTCACACCAAGAGCCACAGTAAGGCAGCAGCAGTGCCTTTGTATTCCCTCTCACTGGAAACACACTGTCTCCTCTAGATTGAAACTAAGTCAGCAGGTAACTGGAGGAATGTGGCCCCTTTCACTTAAAAATTTCAACTTTGATGCACTGGCAGGAAAGGAGAGTAAGTTCCATGGAAACCAGCCAAAGCCAGGAGTCCCGGGAGTAGGGACACTCCACCTCCATTAGTGGGGTGATTGTTTTTGTGTTTGTTTTTGTTTCCCTTTGCTGCAGTGCAGTATTTTAAAGAGACTCTAGTGGAATTAAAATAACGCATTGAAAAATGAATGAGGGTGTTGTACGTGAAGACATCACACCTCCCCAGAGGAGACAGCTTTGTTCTGGCCTGTTGCTAAATCAGAGTGGATGGTGATAAAGCTACAGAACTGTCAGAGGCCCAGGGCTGGGAGAGAAGGGGGACAATTGTGTACATAGGTCCATTCCTGATTAGAGTACTTCCTTTCCCCTGTAGGCTGTATTCCCTCACCCTTCTATGACCTCAGAATTTACACTGTTTGTTTAATGTCAATGGTCAGAGACCCAGGCATGCTAACACCCATCTGTACAGCACCTCTAGCCCTCCAGCAATCAGAGAATCAGAAGGCAACCCCCAACCCCCACCCTGTTATAGCACAGACTCTTAAACACTTCCAGTTCCAGCTCAGGGAATTCCAGCCAAGGCTAAGAATTCGGGAATTTTTCCTACTACTATCGCTCATGAGGCAATGTAACATGAAACGCCTAGGTTTGTCTGGAATATCCCCAATGTGGAGCTGACTGGGTGCAAAGAAGAATACACCTACATTTTCCCAAGCTTGAACAACCAGGTTTCCATGAGTCCATTTTTTCCTCGAGCCTGGCAGCTCAATGGGGTGTTTCCCAACATCCCCAGTGTAAGACAGTTGCAGCTGGGCATGGATCAAGCCAAATATCAGAGTGTCCTGGTGCTTAGTAACCAGTCCTGCTGGGAAGCCCAATACCAAATCATCCTCAAACCGGTCACTGGGGCAAAGCATTGCTCAGGAGATCCAAGTCAGCAAGGGCTGTGCCCCGTGTCCAGCAGCTGGACTACCAGGATGGGGTGCTCTTGCTGACAGGAAACCTGAAACTTAACCCCGATCACAGAACCGACTCCTTGGATTCCAGTTCTGAGGTGCTGGAGGCAGGGCCGGCGGGGTTCTGGTGTGTCACCAGAGGGGTCGTCTCTTCCTCAGACTTGCTGTTGGGTATAGCTTCCACTTTCACCTCCCTTAGTTCCTGCTCTCCTTTCTTCATGGCCTTCTGATTCAGGTGATGGAGAATGCCTGCACCCAGGGCATCCCCTTCCACGTTCACCACGGTGGTGGTACGATCCCTGATGAGAAAAGTACAAAAGGTAGGTGTGATATCCAGTGCTGCCTGCAGCTATAGGGGGAATAGTCCTGGAAAAGTGATTGTGAGGGGCCCTGCTATTTCCTGTAGGGCATGACACTCAAGGTTTAAGACCTTACCTTACTCTAAATTGATTTTCTTTAAACATTTCTTATTCATCTAAAGTAATACACTCTCATTTTAGAAAACCAAGAAAAAGAGAACTATAAAGAACGAAACAAAAGTCTTTCACAAAAGTCACTTATTAACATCAATTAACATTTTGATCTTTTTCCTGTCATTTTTTAATACATGTGTTTTGTGTATAATAAACACCATCATGCAAAAATTACATTTATATTAGCCTAACCAAACTCACTGCCATCAAGTTGATTCTGACTCATTGTGACCCCTATTGGGTTTCCAAGGCGGCAAATTTTTACAAAAGTAGATTGCCCCATCTTCCTTGTGCAGAGCAGCTGGTGGGTTTGAACCACTAACCTTTGAGTTAGCAGTCAAATGCCTTAGGCATTGTGCCACCAGAGCTCCTTACATTTATATTATATAATATTAAAACCAAATTCACTGCTGTCAAGTCAGTTTCAACTCATAGTGACCACTCCTCGGGTTTCTGAGGCAGTATCTCTACAGAAGTATATTGTCCAGTCTTCCTTCCGAGGAGTGGCTGGTGGGTTTGAACCGCCAGCCTTCTAGTTAGCAGTCAAATGCCTTAGGCACTATGCCACCAGTGCTCCCAACATATTACACCATATATAATACATGTATCATTTATACTTTATATGATGGGTTGACAGCATATACTGTTTTGTGTCCAGCTTTTTTCCCACTCAGCATTACACTGTAGGAGTTCCCCTTCTTTTTCCTCAGTTCAACACTGCATACAACTGAGTATTACTCTTCACTTGTTTCATATGGCTGCTCCCTAACACTGCCTCCTAGAAAACAGTACTATCCTTTCTAAAAGCTTAATCATCTTCCCATAGATTAACCCAATGACCACTCTCCAGTCCTTGGCACTCAGAAGAAGTATTATGCCCATTTTGAAGAGAGGGTAAAAATGTGAACTTGCCCAAGGGCACTGGAGAAGCTGGAGCCCTGCATAGGCTTCAAGCTGAAAATCAGATGCTTTCAGCCTTGGTTGGGGGCTGGTATGATTCAGGCCTCTACTGGACTGCCTGCTTGGTATTCTGTTTCCCTGTTTTTGGCTAAGCCCCTCTTAGTTGTCCACCTTCCCCATGCAGAATAGGCGGCTGGGTGAGGAAGGAGATGGGACCTTAGACCCTCTGCTCTGGCCCAGTCCAACTCGTGAATTGTGGGACCAAGTTCCCCTTGATGAATACAGTCTGGACAAAAGGGGTGTCTGTTGCACATTTCACTGTCATTGCTATGAGGAGCCCTAAGGACTCTGAAATGCCCCTTCAAGGCTCCAAGGCTTTAAGAAAAAAAAAAAAGGAAACTGGAAACCACCACTCCCAACCACCACGGGCAGGGCCACAAGCCCAGGACAAGCACTTGTGTCTCACTTACCTCATGCCTGGCTCTCACTGGCTTGGGCAGGATGTATTTTTCTTTGTTAACATTTACTGATTACTTTACCATGTGCCCAGGAGCTCTGGTGGGTAGTAGGTGGCATGGTAGGTAAGGCATTTTGGCTGCTAACCAGATGGTCAATGGTTCAAACCCACCAGCTGGTCTGTGGGAGCAAGATGAGGCAAATCTATTTCTGTAAAGATTTACAGCCCTAGGAAACCCAGTGAGGGTCACTATGAGTCAGAATCAACTTGATGGAAGTGGGTCTTTTTTTTTTAACCATGTGCTCAGTACTCTTGTTTTGTGTACTGTGCATACACTAATTCATACTATCTTCACTGCAACCTAGTGTGGATGGTAGTTTTGTTCCCATTTTTTTTTTTTTTTTTAATTATTATTAGGATTTGGGTGAAGATTTACAGAGTAAATTCACTTTTCATACAGCAGTTCACATATACTTGGTCTCATGTCATTGACCAAAATTTACAATGCAGCAGCTCCCCTCCCACTTCCTCCCCATATTACCTCCTCCCAGTGTCCATCCCTTCATACT